GTGCTCCATAAGTTTTGCTCAAATATTGATAGTTTATTATTTCAGTTTATTAATAATGATAACAAAATGCATATATCAAATCTATTAAATTATGTTATCCTTACTACTCAGAAGAAAACAAGATATTGAAATTGAGTCCGTTTCCTCATTTTTTGGGTCTGTTTCCGGTTTTCAGTTAAAGTTTTAAATTCTCTATTTGTTGTTTGGTTTCCTCTATTCTTGGGTCCGTTTCTTCATTTTTTGTGTCCGTTTCAGGCTTTCAGAAAAAGTTTTAAATTCTTAGTTTGTTGATCTTTTTCCTCTTTTTTTTCGGGTTCAGAAAATCTAAAACGTCCTATGAATCATTATTAATGAGATATATTAATAAACACATGAGGAGGGGGGGGGGGTGTCCCGGGTCCCCCTTTAATTTTTCTGTCAGGACTAAGTTAGGTCAAGATTTGAATGAAAATTTCTGAAAAAAGATATATCACTGCTTTTAAAAATAAAAAAGTTGCTGTAGTTGTGGGATTTTTACATTGAGAACTACTTTATGTTTACTTTGACACATGACTTCAACTTATCTTCACTATTTGCAACAAATTTACAAGGATATCTTACTCCTTTGTGTTTATTTTTAACATGTCTCTTTAGAGACAGTAGTTGCTTCATACTCACATTGAGAACAAGGACATCTCACTCTGATGTGTTTATTTTCACCATGAATCAATTAAGATCACTTGCTGTAGATGCAGCATATTCACAATTATGCAAGATATCTTACCCCTTCATGTTTAATTTTAACATCTCTCTGCAGACTACGATTTTTTTACACGATATTCGCATTGAGATCATTGATATTTGTCTTGCCTCTTCCTAATTCTCTTTGGTTCTGAATGCAGAGGATCCAATTCGTACTCCAGGTTTTCTTCTTAATAGTTAAAGATAACCATTATCTATTTATACACGTCAAGTTTGGTGGTAGGAAACCTACAAATATATTAAGAATAAAATATTTTAAATAAAAAATCAATAAAATAAAATATTTAAAATATAAAATCAATAAATTGTAAATCAGACATTCCTCTCTCAGCATGGTGGGTCACTTTTAGAACAATTTGTCAAGATTACCTTTTATCTGTATTTTCTAGCTTTATTTCATCTTCAGGTATATCAACAAAGCATGGTTCCTCTACAGTAGAGGTTATCTCAGATTCCTTGACATCAAATTCTTTTTTCATAATCTTGGCCATTCTATTGTCATATTATCTGAAAATAGAAACAAATTGAGAAAATTAAATAAAATACAAACTTATCAGCATGTCCCTCTTTTAGGTATAAAATCAATTTGCTAAACTTTGTTTAAGGAATTTTTAATTGTGATTATAGCCAGATCATAGTTAAGTTTTAAGATGAAATTACATTTTTACTAATACAAAATAATACAGGGTGTCCCAAAAAACATGGGAATTCAGTGACGAATTGGATATCGTCTTTGTTAATAATTAGCATTGTAATACCTAATTTCAAAAGCCATAATATTATTATGTCTGCTAGATAGAGATGTCAACGTTTTGATTTTTCTAGATTTTAGCTTTCGTTACGATAGTGTTCATCAAAAGTATTAACGTTTGAAACGTTACATTGCACATTATGAAATTTTATGGCATAGAGTAACGTTACGTAATGAATTTTCTGAACTTGAATATCGTATACAACAGTAAGCTTTTGTAAATGTTAGTGAAAAAACAGTAAGCTTCGTTACGCTTTTGCATTTCCCGTTTTAAAAAACTTTCCCAACGTTGCGTTAAAGCTTTTGTAATATAACCACAATTTTTTAACGTTCCACTTTAATGCAAGGTAAATATTTTCAGAGACCTAACGTTACACTTTCACTTTGTTTAAGATCTTAAAGATGACAAATGTTTTGCTTTAATAAAACGTCATTGAGTCATAGTTCTGTACGTTACAATGCATTTCAGTACAAAAAATTTTTTGTTAACGTTACGTTTTATCTTAACTTTTCCAATATAAATTTTTTTAATTACGTTTAGAAATTTTACTAAAATACACATTTTCTTACGTTACGATTTATCGAAACGTTATTGTGAAAAATTTTTGTTACACTTTTTTACAACTGACAATCAAAACTGTTTATTCGTTTCGTTTTAAGAAAGATTTGAAAAAATGTTCTATACGTTGCGTTGTATTAAAATGTTCAAGCCTTAATGTTTCTAACCTTACACTTTATAAAAATGATATTGTTTCTAAATGAAAGCATTGCAAGATTTTTTCCGTGATAATTACATTTGTTACTCACCCTGTATGTTGCTGTTGTATTGTTGTTAACCTTTTTAGAGAATGTGTTATAGATGAAAATGTATTATGCAATATAAAGATGTTAAAATATTATTATTTTTAACGATTTCTAAAATTTGTAAACGAAAGTTTTTAGCATTAGACTTTTAACTCAAAGTGTGTCTTTAAGGGAATTGAGAAGTAATTTCAAGTGACCTTCCATTTATGGAGTGGCATGTCCAGTAGGGGTGATCAATATTGGAATAAAGCCAACCGCCCACCGGAAGTCGCTGCGTTTTCATCGTAAGGCCATGTTATACATCATTTTCTTTGAAATTCAATGCTAAATTCAAATCTGAAAAGCGTTTAAAAAAATTAAAAGTTGAGTGATTCAGAGCTAAAAAACTCATCAAAAACATTAAAAAGTTTAAAAACCGGAATTTAGTACCGTTATTTGGCCATAACTTCTTTAGATTTTAATATATTTAAAAATGGTTTTCGAATCTGAATTCAGCATGAAATTTCCAAGAAAATGATGTATCATATTTATTTTTTGAAATTTTTTTTTAGGCCTTGTTGAAATTTTTCCATTGTCAATTCGCAACCCTATGAACCCTATGATTTTGAAATTGTTTTGATTGCAATATTTTTTTACGCAATGCAGACTGACCCTTTTCTTCTATCTTACAGAATTCATAGTTTAAAATATCTAAGGTCTACAACATTGGGTAGCAAAGATATAGGGATTAGAAATATAAGTTTGTGAACAACTCAATTCCTTTAGACATTCTTATCTAACAGAATTCATAGCTTGAAATATCAAAAGTCTACAACACCAGCTTGCAAAGATATAGAGATTAGAAAATTATAATTTGTGGCGAATTTTTAGTTTTTTTTCTGTGTTTTTTATGTTACTTACAAAGTGAGAAAAAAAGCTGCATTAGCTTTAGTTTACAAACCACTATGAAAATGTTTTCAGAGTTCATGTTTGGGGTTAAAAAATATCAAATAAAGTAAGACAAGTGCTAAATTTTTTAACACAAACAACGCGAAATAAAATTATTCAACATTTTTTTCTTTTAAAAAAAATCGATTAAAAACTCAGTTTTTTTCTATTTTAAAGTTTCATAAAAATCTATGAATAAAACATAACACGCATTTTCCATTTGATAAAATATTGTTGCATTTTAGTAAGTATCTACATTTCTAAATTTTTCAACCTAAAACATGAACCATGCCAACTGAAGTTATGATTTTTAGTAGTCAAATAAACATGAACAGCAATTGTGTTTGTTCACAGACCCGTTCCACTTAATAAGTTGATTTTTTTGCAATTAGTAAATCATTTGCTTTATAACAGAAAATGCATATGTAAAATTTCTTAATATCGTCTTCCTTTTCCAGAGTTTTAGTGGGTTTCATCAAACAATGGCAGAATCAAAAACCTTTAATGTCCAAGAAACATTTATAAGATTTGAATTTTCACTAATAGCATGTTACAAAAAAACTCGTTTACACTTTAGAAAGGAACTAAGTTTTTTTTCAAATTTACTAATCCCTATATCTTTCCAACCCGATGGTTTAAACCTTGTTTACTTCATTATTAATGGTCTACGACATCGGGTTGCAAAGATATATTGAATGAAAATGAGAGTTTTTGGCATAAACCCATTTTCTTTAAACTTGAAATGAAAAACCATTAGTCTTTGCTCTTATAATCATCAGTTAAATCTCTTACATTGATATATTAGAGACGTTTTGAAATGTTTTGATTGACAGATTCATTGTTACACTTTTGAAATTAAAACTCAGCCCTCATAGTCTAACGTTTTATGAACAACATTTTCATTAGACATATATCTAACGTTAGACTAATCAATTTAGTACTCAGAGAAAAGTTATGAAAAATTTTGATTTACAGAATTACATTTTTTTTAAATGTTATACGTTACAATATTGAAATTTTACTCTGTTAGATAAACTTTCGTTTCCTGATTATTAAAATAATAACCCATTTCTGCAACGTTGAATTTTTCATTATACTATTAGGGAAAACGTTTCAAATCGTTTTCATAAACAGTAATGCATTTTTCAGTTATACAACGTTACACTTTTTAAAAGTTGAACTTTGAAATAGAAATCCTTTCGTTACGATATTCAATCAAATCACAATTAATTTTTCAAACGTTAGACTTTCAAGCTCCCCTTGGAAACAAAACATTTCATTACGTTATGGTCAAAAAAGTTGTATATATTAGAAAAATAACGTTACATTACCAAAAAAACGCTAATGTTGGGGGTATGTTCCTCTAACGTTAACGTTTAACGTTAACGTTATCTAGAATATATCCAAACGTTACAAATTATTGTAACGTAACGTACAAAAACGTACATTTTACGTTACGTTACACTATCGTTGACATCTCTACTGCTAGAGTTTATTTCATGAAAAGGGTAAAAGACTGTAAAGATGTGTCTATAATGTCTCCGCAAGATGAATAGTGAATTGACGGACAAGTTTACTTTGTTTGTATACTGCAATTTTCTTGTTTTACTAACTACAACCGTATGCAGTCAGAACATAAACAAACAAAATGTGAACATAGCAGACGAAACTCTTACAGATTACAGCTTTCTCAGTAGGTATCACTATACTAAATCAAAGAATTAAACAAAAAGACGATATCGAATTCGTCACTGAATTCCCATGTTTATTGAGACACCCTGTATATATGAGAATCCGTTGTCTTTGCAATAAGGACAGAGATCAGGGTTCAGTTGTCTTTAATATCTTCGTATCTATTAAAATTGACAAATTTAGAAAAAGTTCTTAAATATTTATTGTAAATAAAACTGAAAATTTAAAAAAATCAATAAAAAATTTCACGGAAATTTTAACAAAAATCGAAAGAAAAAACCACATGGGATGGGATCAAATGTCGTCTTTTACATTTCAGGTTCAATCTTCGTCGTCTTCGATATCAAGGTTCTTTGAGAGCGCCCAATCGACGAATTCTCCAAACAGGATCTGACCGCCCCCGTTTTTGTCGATTGTCTCGAACTCAGCTTCAAGGTCTGAAATTGGCCCAACCCACTAAAAACAAGTATCATAAATTTGAATAAAAAAAAATCTTAGAAATAAAGTTTTTCTAAGACGACATTCAAATTTACCTTTTCTAGTGCAGCAGTCATGGCGGGAGAGGTGAACTCCTCCTTGGACACTCTCCTATCATCTCCAGTATCCAGCCTAGGTAACAACTTTATTTAATTAGTTTCAACATATTCTTCTGAGACCGGAACTTAAGACATGTTAACCATGGTTAAACGAATGAAGACGACAGACAATTTTAACCATGGTAGACATAATCTCTTAAGTTCCGGTTTGAGAAGCCCGCACCGAGTTTTTGCCAGAGCCGCAAACTTTATAATCCCTATATCTTTGGAACCTTATGGTGCAAATCTTCAATATTTAAAGCTTTAAATAATTTAATCAAACATAGTTAATAGTTTGAAATATAAATTTCTGCAATATCAGGGTGTATAGATATAGATACAGTTAGAACTCTGGAATAGGAAGACGACATAAAAGCAATGATCAAGTGTAATTGATGTTGTTACAGGTATAGGATTGACCGCAAATCATGACTTTATGTGTAAACAGATAATTTTGGGTCAAAAAGTTCAAGCATAAAGTTAAAATATAAAAAGTTTCCTCGTTCTATTAATATTTCCACAAATCTGGGTAGTTTCACCTTTTTTCTTTAAAAAATGTTAAAAATTATTTTAAAGTGACTGTAAGCGTAATTTCAAATGATCCTCCATGCTTAGATGCCAAAACCCAATTTACAACGGTACCCTTAAAAGCTTTTTCTTATCATGTATGAATTAGATTTCAATGTTTTTGTTTCTTTAAAATGTTGATTTTCATTTGCAGGTTCTCTGCGAAAGTGACTTGCGCATTCCTTGTTTATAAGAAACAGTTGAGAAACTTACAGAAATAAACCCTTTTCAAGAGAGAAAAACGATGGTTTCTCCAACATTTTAGATCAGATTAGAATTTTAAGGGTATCGTTGTAAATCGGACATTGTATATTGTAGTGAACTACGCCAACCTGTCGAATGCCTGGTAGTACTCGAAGAACTGCCGGAGTAAATAAAGGAAAACACGGAACTCTGAGGCCTGAAGATAATCATCACCATGGGGGTTGGGTTTCTGAAAGAAAAACCTTTTAGAAGTTAAAAATAAAATCTTTAAAAAAATCAGAAGAGAATTACATTTGTCTGAATTTTGGATCGTACTAGTAAAAAATGTTAAATTAATTTTTAATTTTTTCGACTTTTTTTGGGAAAATAAGGAAAAGAGAAATTATTGCTATAATTCAAAGATATGTTTTACAAAAATTAGGATTATGATTTTTTATTAATTGTCGTCTTCTTCAAAGGATCGAAGGTTCAATCTTCCAAAAGTTTTTTTGCTGTTGGCCTAGCTTTTTATGAAAATAATAAAAACTACACAAAATATGCTTTTTTATGCAATACAAAAATAGGCAAAATGCATAACAGCACAAAATATGAATTTTTTAGATAATTGTTAAAGATCGGAAAAAGTCGTTGAGCATGATTAGATGAATATAAAATTTTAGGGGAAACAAAACACGTAATTTTTTAATTTTTGAATCTCTTTAAGGGGCACAACAGACAACAATTATTAATCTATAATAATTCAGAAAAATTAAGTTTTCTTTGTTTTAATCTAATCCAAACTGTACAAGTCACGTAATTTTCTATTTGAATATAATCCAGTAATCATGAAACATTAAAAAGAAATCATCTTTTTTTCATTTATTAGGTAAACGTTTATAGAGAACTATAGATCAAAAACCCTTTATAAGATATAAGATTTTCATAATCTATCCAACCTTTTTATCACAATTTGTTATCATCTAATTACAATTTGCGGAAAATTTTGATATTTTTGTTTCAAAGGTTTTATATCTTTTTTTCTTTGATACTTGAAGTATAAGGATACTACAGTTGAGAATCATGTTTAACTCTTAAACTGGAACCAGCCAGCTGCTTGAAATTACGTGGATAATCCCTTTAAGGAACAGTTAACGTCGTAACAGTAAATCTTTATTTATTAAGAAGATGTACACAGCTTGAATGAATGAGATATTCTAGTTTATTTAGCTAAAAAAATTATTATTTTCAACATTGTCTTCCAAGTACTGGTGGCTTACATATTTCTGCTTCAGAACTGATGGAGGACATTTTCAGAATTAAATACTTTTCAAGCTAGAAACACGACGATATCTTCGCACAATTCTGATCCGATAAAGGGTTAAAGCATATCGTTTTGAATCGGGCATGCGCCCCACTTTTTGTGAGATAAAAGCCACTTGTAATTTTAACGACAATCCCTTTAGATTATTTAGGTCAAGTTGAAAGATAGTTTCTTCAAAGAAAAATACTTGGTGGATTTGATCACCTTGCAGATCTTCCTGGAGTGATGGAAAGCTGCGTTGATCGCTGGGATACAGTCGAACACTTCAGGGATAGCCAACACGTCACGGATTCCCTAAATTGATATAATTTATGGGCAAAATTCAAATTGTTTCTATATAGAGGGCGAGAATATAAAGCTGAGGATAAAGATGACTATCTTTATAATTACAAATATGTCACGGAATCCCTAAATTAATAGAATTTTTAGGCGCAACATGGTTTTCTGAAATGTAATGAAGTAAAAAATAAGTAAATTGCACCCCCCTTCCCCACCTCCTCTCTTCAAAGTTGCGCCATTTGTTGATTAAACTGTACCTGAACTTGGGTTGGATCTAAATTCAATTAATTTTTAATTCTTCTGTATATATCAGGGGGGCTGGATCTTAACTACCTGTACGTATGTATTAGTCTGAATGTACACTTGGGATAGTTTACTGAAAAACATTATTAAGATATTATGACCTAGTCATACAGTACAAACATCAAATATGCAGTACGCTTTCGGATTACAAGTGTATCTGGGGGTTTTGTATCTTGAATTTTACTCTGTTTTCTCAGAACCGTTTATTAACGATGAATTATTGCTCTGTAAAAGACTGTAATAGTACGTCTTCCTGTGAATATGTATTCCTGCACACGATAAAGGCGTAGTGGATTGTAATAGTTACATTGACCCCAATTTATCTATTTAAATATTTTCAGAAATCAACCCCGAGTACTGTAATATACAGATTAACCTTTGGAAGTGAAGAACATGGCCGGTACAATTAGTAAAGGATTAGCGTACATTATCACTCTATATACTATAACCTCGTTGGCATATAAAGATCATATCAAATTACCATCTAATGACAAAGATTTATCTAATATTGATGTTGTTGAAAAAGATCTCCCATTTAAAAAGAATGACTGTTTTATAAAATCGACCAAACACATATTCATTAAGTATAAATTGGCCCTTGTAATGTTATCATAATAAAACTTTAATAAAATAACATTCATGAAATCATGTTGCTTGAATTAAAATTGTTGATACACTTTTTGCAAAAAGTAATGCTTATTAATATTTTACCCTTTGAGTCTCAGCTAGGGAGACATATCCGTTTCCGTTCACATCCACGCTGCTCCACAGCTCCTAGAAAAAATGAAATAAAAATTCGGCTGATTCACCTGTGGCTGGTTATAATCATAAACCGGAAATGCTACGCGCATTGAGCACTGTCCACTACACGCCCTATGCGCAGTAAAACACACATTTTAACAGATTCTGCGCATCCTTGAAGAAGTTTAAAATGCAGTTCAGCGTTAACTCGAGCGTGGGAATTACACTTGCAAAATGTACTGTTTTCCAACTAAGAGACTATTTCATACAGAAAGGAAACTATAAAGTTTAAAGCCTAATAATATAATTAATTAATTAAGTATATTCCATTTGCTTTAATCATTGCGAATTTTCTTTTTCAATATATATCATATATATAGTTGAAACACAATTTTTAAAAGGATTTTAAAATGAACTATTTTTTTTGTTGTCCTGCGATAAATTTACCAATCTACAAGTTGGCCAAGTTGTTGAAAACTTTTAAAACTTCATAGAAATATAACGTTAAACTACTGCTGATTCCATTTCGAAATTCTCAATTCTATAAACAGAACTTTCCAATGATGACATGACAGATAATGATAATAATAGTTTTAATTTTCAACATGGCTGACGGTTTTTTCAACATGGCTGACGGTTTTTTCAACATGGCTGACGGTTTTTTCAACATGGCTGACGGTTTTTTCAACATGGCTGACGGTTTTTTTCAACATGGCTGACGGTTTTTTCAAACATGGCTGACTATATTCAAACGTGGTCAACTATTTTCAAACGTGGCTGACTATTTTCAAACGTGGCCAACTATTTTCGAACATGACCGACTTTTTTCAAACGCTTACAACTATTTTTAATTAGGCCGACTATTTTCAAACATGGCCGTTTATTTTTAAACATGGCCGTTTATTTTTAAACATGGCCGACTATATTTGTAAAATCTTTACCTTCCTGGCAGCCCTCTCACGCTTAAAAAAACAGTCAAGAAAAGGATAAAAATATATTCATTTAAGAAATTTTATTCCACCTCTGAAACTACAGATGTGTTGAAAATTATTTACTTTAAAATAAGAAATAAAAAAATTAGATTCCACTACGTTGTGTTGCTCGGAGAGGAGAAAACTGAAGCTTTTGGATTTAAAACTTTAAAATTAAATTTATTCTATCATGAAACCCTCTCATCTCTCCATCTTCCTCCATACTTGCTCCTTTCTTTCATTAATATATAATGTCTGAACTGAGAGGAGAGTTCAGCTTTTAATTATTGATTTTTTAAACATAAAATTGGAAAGGAATTGTCTTTACTATCCCTAATCTTGGAAACCCAATATCGTAGACCTTTGATATTTCAAACTATGAGTTCTGTTAGATTAACACATCTAAGTTTTAAAACCCAAAGACTTACTCAACCATGTTGCAAAGATATAAGATTTAGAAAAGTTGTAGCAAATACCCAATTCCTTTATAAAAAATCATTTTTTAATATAACTTATTATTGTTAAGTTTTAGTGATATTATCAAAACAAATGATAATAATTCTTATATATATTATATAATATCTAACGCCCAATAAGATTATTTAAGATCTAAAATCCATTTTTAAAAACATTTTTTACTTAATAAACTTTAAAAAGACACTTTTGGGATTTGGAATAATGGTAAACCTTATTTGCAACAAGCATTTTCTAGATTTTAGAAAGGTTAGTCAGTGATTACAGGGAGTGTTCGCGAACAATGAAAGGGGGTGTAGTTACGTTGATATCAAATTGAATTCGATATCGATCTCTACTGATGTTTCGTTTATATGTTGCGCGCATATAAGGAGAAAAGAATTAAAAACTACTCATACCGAAGAACGTAGGACTCCGTGAATCTTTATTTTTCCCTTAGTGGAGATCGATATCGAATTCGATTCGATATCAACCTATATCTTTCATTTTTTGTGAACACTCCCTTTATAATAGGTTTTTTTTTATTTTCATATTATGACTAATCCTCCTGTAGTATTGTAAAACCAATATGCAATGTTTCCTTATCAGTTTAAACACAATGTAACATTATTATCATTGTGTCCTGCGATAAATTTACCAATCTACAAGTTGGCCAAGTTGNGCTTTAAACTTCTTTAGCAAACCAGGGTAGAACTTGTTCATGTAATAATATTCTAAATACAAAATCTATCTTTTACGGTAATTCTACTTCCCCCCTGGAATACAACAATATTTGGTCATAAAGTTCCTTAGATTTCTAAACCTTAAAAAGTTCACATTTTTGAATAATTTAAAAAGAAGACACACCCTTCAAAATGATTTATAAACAAATAGGCAAAAAATTAACTTTAACGAAATAAATCTTGAAAAAAGAAATAAAAATAGTTTAAATGCAAATAATGTATTGGATAAACTATATACTTTAGTTAAACTAAGCAGTATATGGACTGCCCACTGCCTCTACTGCCTGTAGTGCTTGCCAGGCAAGGTTTACAAATACTGAAAATATTTAGAGGCGTGAACCGCAGATTTGCCGGCCGGTGTTTCTTGGGAAATACTCTCCACCAAAGATTTTAAAATCAAAGATAATTTTTTGAAATCTTAATTTTACAGACAAAAAAGTTTCATTCTTTCTTTAAATTCTTTAAAATTTACTTAAACAATTTGATTTATCTAAACTTTGCAAAATCTTTGCTAGAGATTTGCGAACGTGAACCCTGAACGGCTTGCAATTGAAAACTTGCAAAAACTTAAAGCAGGGTTTCAGTTCCGCTTAAAATTAGGGGTAGGGAGGAATTGCGTCTGGGAAATCTTTATTTAAAAAAAAACAAATAAACATTTTAAACACATTCACAGAGCTGTTAAGTATAACAGAATAAATTTGATTTACAATATTTTTTTTTACTTGGCCATAAAGCTAGGTACAAACTATACCAATACACCTCCCCCCCCTCCCCACCAACCAAAAAAACACTCATAAAAACTGCCTCTTAGGGAACCAAATATTTCAGATTTACAACAGGATGCATTAGTAACTTGGATATTTTACAGGGATTCTTTTTATGATCATAACAATTAAACACCAGAAATTAGCTAACAGTAAAATTCGAAAAAATTGAATAAATGAAAGAACTGATTATTTTTAAAGTTTAAAGAACATGCCAAAGTCAGTAATTGAAGAGCCAAAGATAGATAATTATTGGTTCATTTTTAAAATTTTTAAACGCTTAAGAGCAGCCAAAAAAAAAATGACAAAGTTGCTTAAAGTAACTGAGTTTTTGCCACAAACTCTCATTTTCTAATTCCTATATCTTTGCAACCTGATGTTGTAGAGAAAACTGTATTCTCTAAAAGTTTGCTTTAATTTATTTGCAAAACTTTTATCCTAGAAAAAAATTTAAGAAAAAAAATAGTTTCAAACGATTGTTTTTAGTTAATTTTTGCGTTTATATATGTGGACAATAACAATCTTCTCAGAGTTTTCTGGAACCTCTTAAACGTTCAAAAACCTAGAAAGGTAAGAAAGGTATCGCCCATCAGCAACTACATATACATATATAGTTAATGGGTGGTTACAGCTACCATTCTAGTTCCAATTGAAGATCAACTTACTCTGATAATAATTTAACTATCTCGTCATTTATTCATCTACATTTAACTAAAAACTTTGTAACTCAGCTTTACCTGGAAACTAAACTTTATGTAGGAAAAGAATTATACCGTGTTCTCCAATCAAAATTTGAGGCAAATCAGTCAATGGGTTCCTGATTTATGATCGAATAATTAATATGAAAACAAACAAACAGAGATTGAATTGAATTTTCACTACTTTCTTACAGAACATTACTTAATTGCTCAATCGGATCAATTTGCGTAAGAAGAAGTAGTTCAGCTCCCTATACCTAGATAAACTTCTTCTTTTCATTAAATCCAACTCTGGTTTCTCTGGTTTAAGCTACAAGTTCTCTCTGGTTGCTACAGAAACCTAAATTTTACTCTCAACACAGATATTTACTCTCTGGGTAACCTTGACAATATGTTCTGCTTTCTCTAGAGCAACAGGTCTTTCGTGGAAATAAAATATCTTTATTCCAAGATGAATATCCCTTAGCTTGTAAATTCTTAAATATAAGAAACTTTAAAAAATATTATTCATTTTTGTATTTAGGTTAGATGTCCAAATAAACGGATGCGTTACTAAACACACAATGTTCTCGTTTACTAACGTGCAAGTGCGACTGCAATATGTAAAACAAAGAAATCGAGTCGTTGCCACAAACTCAAATTTTCTAATCCCTATGCCTTCGCAACCTAATGACATAAACCATTTAAACGTACACAATTTGATGGAACAGAAATTATAGTGGTACATATCTAAAGTCTTCGACATTGGGTTGCAAAGATAAAGGTAGTAGACAATCAGAATTAGTGACAAAGACTAAATTCCTTGAGAAGATACGTATAAAACATAAAAGTATACAATTTTAAAAAGAAATATTGACAAAACAAATCATTTGAGGGATATATAATATTCCGAGGCACAGACACTGTAAAGTACTGAGAGTATATAACAGACTGAATATATTGAATACAATATATACTAGTTTACCTACCTCTGTTAACCTCCAGTAAACCTCCCAGGACCCTCACACACAAACACAATCTTATTTTTTGTATTTTTTGCTTACTATTCCCCGCCCCACCTCTTTGTAAAGGAAGGAAGGAGCAAACTGTTTTTGGGTCACATAGATTTAACCCATGCAATATTCCCACCACAAACCTTGAATCAAACTTCTATATGAGATGTATCTTCAAAATAATAGCTAGAAATATGTTTCTAAAATTGTTCTAAAATCTACATGTCCAGGGTTAGAAATAGAGTTCAAATAATAATAGAACAATAGACATCACAGAAAAGTCAGTCTTAAAAAAAATCAATGTGTGCTAAAAAAATTAATCTTTTTCAAAATTATTATCATAACAGAAATTGACCGATACTGCTTTATCAGGAGCTTCTCAGATGAATAGACTAATGTTTCTTCCACAGCTGCTTCTACCAATGGATTAACTGCAGATGTCACTTCTGCTGGCGCTTCTACAGATAGATCAACTGCTGCTCCATTACCAGAAGCTTCTACAGATGAATCAACTGCTGCTTCATCACCAGAAGCTTCTACAGATGAATCAACTGCTGCTCCATCACCACAAGCTTCTACAGCTACTAGGGTTTACAGAAACAGAGTTCATTGCATTTGATTTCACATCTTTCTCAATAACCTTTTAGTTTAAAGTGTTTAAAAAGATTTTAAAAGGTTAAAAAGTATAAAACCATGCAATAAAAATAAGCTTCTTCTATTGATACCTTATACCAAATAAGTATACATTATCTAATTTATGTAATCCTTAATCCTATTTGTTTTTGATTATCTAATTACTCACCCCCGCAAAAATATCAGATTCTCAAATGCCAAATGATCAAAAAATAATAAAAAAATGTTCTCTTCTCTTCTAAATTCTACTTGTATCTTATATTTTCTTCTCTTCTCCTTTCTTCTTCTTTTTTTCTTCGCTTTTTCTTATCTTTTCTTTACTTTTCTTCTCTTTTCTTCTGTTCCCTTATCTCTTTTCTTCTCTTTCCTTTTCTCTTATCATCTCCTCTTTGTTTTCTCTTTGTTGTTACGATCCGTTGTTATATGATTTTTCTCTGATTTGTTTACATTTCAAGCTTGTAGACCTAATTGAAACGTACTGCGTTTGTACTCCATAATTAGACATTTGATCATTTGGCATTTGATATTTTGATACTTTTGCCTCACCCCCTTCACCTCCCTCACCCCTTCCCCTTCCCCCCTTCCTCCCTCGAGAAGAAAACCCTGAACATTGAACTGGAGTTACTCATGCGTTACAGCCCTGCACAGGCCGCAGGCATGCATGTTTCCAAACCCTTATTATTCTACTTAGCTTCTCTTCTTTTATATATTTCTATCTGTATTTCTATCTGTTCACCTTTCTTCTATCTTTCAATCCCGTTATCCCTCTTTGTGTTCGCATATTTTCTTTTTGAATTTGAATAAGCTTAATTCTTTCTACTATTTTATCTTTCTATGTCCGTCTTCTCTATTTTTGCTATTTTATCTTTCTATATCCGTCTTCTCTATTTTTGCTATTTTATCTTTCTATATCCGTCTTCTCTATTTTTGCTATTTTATCTTTCTATTCGTTCTTATCTCTAGTTTTTGTCTTTTTATCTTTCCATCAGTTTATTTTATTTTTTCTTCTCTTTTTTCTTATTATCTTTTTTTTGGTTTCACTCCTCTCGTTATCTACTTTTCTTTTTTATCTTTCTATCAATTTAATTTTCTTTTTTGCTTTTTTATCTTGTTAAATTATTCTTTTTATTCCTTTTTGTTCTTTTTTTGTGTCTTAAATGTTATTTCTCTGTTAGATCAATTAATTCTAAATTTGAAATATCAAAGGTTTATACCATCAAATTGCAAAGACACAGGGATTAGACAATTTTAATTTAATGGCTCGATTTCTTTGCTGACTACTATTCTTCTTTTACTGGCTAATTTAAAAAACTAAAAGTTCAGTTAAAACTTTTGAAATGTATTCCTTAGATTCAAACAAACCGAAAAACTAACCAGAGGCCGAAACTTAATAATAAAAACCCCGTCGCTGAACCAGTTCCAATTAAGCGCCAGCTCAAATCTTGAAACACTTAATACAATTTCAATTGGAACCAACCATGTTTGAGCCACGTCTCAAATTAGAGACGCGGCTCAAATTCTTTGAATTCGGCTATAGGCAGACAAGGAAAATACTACACGTATAGATAGAAACAATGAAATTGAAACCATAGATCATAAAATGTACAGTAATATGGTCGCGGTACAAGGTGAAATAAAAACATAAAGTTTTTCACTAAGCTTTTAATTAAAGCACAGGGATAGTCACAAAGGATGAGACTTCAGAGACGACTGTACGGAATGCTTACTCTCTGTTTCTTTATATTTCTGATTCCCTGAAACTATGAACTTGATTCTTACGTTGCCCAAAAATTAAATTAGTCATTGAAGGACTGAATCTAAGGCAGATGATTTAATGTAACCAAAAGAATGTCATTGAGAGTCTCAGGTCTCTCAGGTCGTCTTTGCAGTTGATTTTTTTGCGTAACCCTGTATTAGAGTTAGGATAAAACATCACAATTAAAATTTTTTTTATTTTTGTGATGCAAATTTCTAATTGAAATTCTAAGATTACTTACCTATTAAACAAATTATGGACACCCTGTAATGGAAACCATATCCTGTAAACTAAAAACCAAAGAATATTAAAAATTAAAATAGTAAAAGAAAATTTGCACAAATGATTTAAGCGCTGGGTAGTCGTCTGGATATTTTTGCAAAAGTGCATAAATATATTAGAATTAGTTTCAGGCATTATCCCTCGAGTATTTGATATTGAAAGTCTGCAAAGAGAAAATAATTTCCATTCCTTATTTAAGTGATTTTTTTAAAACCTTTCCAGAGCAGTTATGAGGAAGAAATCGTCATTATTTCCTCGAGGAAAATGGTAAATTCTGACAAATTCCGTCCCATCAGTTTTTAACGATGATTAATCGGCCTTTTTTTAATGAAGATTTATTTGAAATTACATTTACATAAATTAAAAGAAAGCTATCGTTAAATGTTATTGCCATCAATATATTCGAATATTATTTAAAAATCCTACAGGTTTTATTAAGAAATTTGAACACATATAGTACCACAAGAAAATTATGCAATTATTTCGAATAACTATAAAATTAAAGTTTAAAATATTTAATTGTGGCCCCCCTCCCCCTCCCCCTTGTTTAGTTTGTGCTGTGTTGATAAGAGAATTCCTTCCTATTACCATATTACATAATTTTATATTATTTAATGTGTCAGTTAGCTTTAAGTTTTCGTACTTTTATGCAAGCAATGGAAGATAACAAGGGACATACCATACCATACCATACCATACCATACCATACCATACCATACCATACCATACCATACCATACCATACCATACAATACCATACCATACCATGCAACCAAAGCATACCTTAACCATACCATACTAACTGTAATGTATGGTGTAAAATACAGGAAATGTTGAGTGGTTTTATGATCGTGAAATCTAAAAAATGGTTGCAACGAGATCAGAAAGTACTGTGTATTCTCACAAAAGATCGTTTGGATTTTTTTCACAAGAAGTAAATATTATTAAAATTCTTATATGAGGAAAGATGAGCCGCTAGTTTCTTTAAACGTGATATCATGATAGTTATAGTCTACAGTAAGTTGAGGGGGAGGGGGGGGGGATACAAATGTTGTACGATTATTTCCTTGTATTTTTCCTAGAACAGTACACGGGGAGGATCCTTGCGAAAATGTGTTGGTAAACAACTATAGCTGTACAGTACAATTAATTATATTAATCTAGAGCAGTGAATGGGGAGTCTTCTGAAGTAAGTGTACTAATGTGCAACTACAGCTGTACAGTACAATTAATTATATTACTCTAGAGCAGTGAATGGTGAGTCTCCTGAAGAAAGTGTACTGCTACACGATGTTATCAATGTTGAACTACAGCTGTACAGTACAATAAATTTAGTAAGAAAAGGAAAGGTAAGAAATTTGTGTGATCTTAGATTTCACTTAAATATAAAAGTTTAAATGATTGGTGTTAATTATATTTTGAGGAAAGCAATCAGATCTTTATTTTTCTGTTCTCCAAAAGTAAATAGTTTAGGTGGAATAAAAACATATTCTCAAAGGAATTTTAAGCGATATGCAATATAAGATGACAAAGCAAATCCGGATTCACAACGGTACTCTTGAAACCTTTATCTAATCAATAATTGTAAGAAATTGTCCTTTCTCTAGATTCAAAAGTGTTTAATTCTGATAATTTCTAAATGATTTTCTGTCGTAGAAATGAGCAAGTCATTTTTGTAGATAAGCCACAATTGGAAATGATTAGTTTTCCAAATTATAAACATTAATATATAATTTATACTTAATCAGACAAAGTGTTTCGTTAAATCTGCAATTGCCATCTTTGGACAGAGGGTCCCTTGAAATTACGTTTACAGTCTCTTTAAAGGGACAGACCGGCTATGTAAGGCAGTTGAACTGAGTATGCAGTGTTGTGGAAAAATTTTTAAGGATTCATTTGAGACATATAAACTTTTACAGGGTGTATAATTACTGAGTATGAGCGCATAGTCGACGTTTCAATTCATGAATTTGGGTGGATACGTTTTCAGAATTGTTTTTTTAATCAGTAAAAAAGGACGACGAAAAATATAGTAAAAATTCTATAGTAAACTAATTAGATGTTTAGGAACATTTCATCAAAAGAAATTAGTCAATAAATTGAAGTTTGAATTAATTATTTACTTTTTCATTTTTATATTGAATTTCTTATTTTATATGAATTTGTTCGCAGATTTCTTCAAATTCTTCTAATGTCGTCTTCTTAATAAAATTCAAGAAAATCTGCAGAAAATCTTTGTGATTAAAGAGAGATTGTAGTACTAAGAATTAAATAAGACTACTTATTTTCGATGATTTTTATTTACTCAACCTGTTCCTAAACAACTGATTAGTTTACTGTTTACATTTTTGTCGTCGTTATTTGATAATTAATAAAAAAACAATTCTGAAAAAGTATCCGCCTAAAAGTACGATTTTGAACGTAGACTTTGCGCTCAAACTCATGATTTACAGATCTTTAAAAAGTTTTATATGTCTCAAATGAATCCTAAAGAATTTGTCCACAACACTGCATACTCAGTTCAACTGCCTTACATATGCCGGTCTGTTCCTTTGAGTATATTTAAAAATAACCATTCCAATTATTTTTCAAGGGTGATATCTCCATGCGTCCTGTAGATGGAAATTCTTTGCATAAATGGTATGGAGCTCTAAGAGAAGCCATGATGAAATCTATGGTCAGTTTTAAATTTAATCAAGATTTTATAGATTTCCACCTATTCTTCTTGAGATGAAAGTTCAAAATGAAAGTTAAAGATGAAAGTTAAAGATGAAAGTATAAGATGAAAGTTAAAAATGAAAGTTAAAGATGAAAGTTAAAGATGAAAGTTAAATATTAAAGTTAAAGATGAAAGTTCAAAATGAAAGTTAAAGATGAAAAAATGAAAGTTAAAGATGAAAGTTAAAGATGAAAGTTAAATATTAAAGTTAAAGATACAAGTTAAAGATGAAAGTTAAAGATGAAAGTTAAAAATCAAAGTAAAAGATGATGGCTTTATTTATTCAAATTCAATTATACTGCAATATATTTCAAAAAAAATGTTGGACTTATTTTTTTTCGTCTAATAATAGAAGTTGTTTTTATATGTAAGGTTTTAAGTTTGCTTCCCAAAAAACTTTGTGAAAAGTATCTATTGGAAAGGACATTGGGTCTTTGCCATAAACTAAGATTTTTAAATCCATATACCTTTGTGACCTCATTTTGTTAACCTTTGATATTTCAAACTTCGATTATTCCATCTAATAGAATGAATAGTTTAAAATATTTTAGGTCTACGACATTGGGTTGCAAAAATGTAGGATTTATAAAATCAGAGTTTGTAACAAAAAAACAATTCCTTTTGTTCAAATTATATCTTATATTTATCTTAGATACATGGTATACATATAACCAAACGTTCAGGTTATGTAAGAAAAACGTTTTAGGGAGTTATTACAGCTGAAAAAAAGCTAGACAATGTTTGAAATAATTTTTTATATGATATTTAAGTACAAGTCGGATAAGAGGCAATCGAAGGAGAAGGGTTTGAGAAGAAGTAAAACTAAGGTTGAAGGAGAAATGATCTCTAACCTGAGGAGGCTTAAGGACAAGAGGATATCTCAATCAGTCACTGAACTCACAGATCTTCAGGTTAGAGATCGTTAGTCACTGAACTCACAGATCTTCAGGTTGGAGATTGTTAGTCACTGAACTCAGAGATCTCGAGGTTAGAGATCGTTAGTCACTGAACTCAGAGATGATTTCTAAGTACAGAGCTGGCAACAAAGGATAAGACTATAAAAACGACCTGAAACACCTAAAATATGACAATTTTGAGGTTTAATTATTTATCTGCCTTAAACAAAGTCTTGTAAGGGCTTATTTTATAGTTGGGCAAAGAAAGCAACAAGTTTAAAGTTTTAGTGAATCTTAATATAAGGAAAAGTCAATGTAAATTCCGGCTCTGAATCCTTTATGGGCAATACTGTACATTGGAGAACTCCTATTACCGTATTAGACCTATCTAAATTGCCACAGACGATTAGATCTATCAAGCACTTATTTATAATTCGACAATTACAAATAACCACGGTTTCTCTAGTCAAATGAAACTCACACGGGGATTTATTTAATCTATGATTATAATTCATTTTTTTCAAAAAACAAAACAATTTGGGCATATGTAAACACAGTCCTTGTTGCTCACTAGTAAACTTCTTCTAACTTGTAGATTAAATAAGTATATTTCAGGGTCCCATCTATCCTAATATGCCTTTAAAGAAAGCGGCAGCATTATCTGTAGCTTCAATGAATTCAGGAGGTGAACAATTAATATTTATAAGTAGTTTATAAAACCTGAAACATTTTTATTTGTTTTTTAAAATTATATATTTTGGTTATAAAAATCTCCGGTTTTAATTAAGTTCCTGTTTAGGGTCTTCTGGAGGTGGATCTAGAAAAGCTCGAATTCCAATTGGAACTTCAATAGCTAAAGATCTGTATCTTAAAAATGAAAGGTAATGAAATATTTTGGTCTTTGACGGAATCTAATGAATTTGAGAGAGGTTCAAATCCTGAATCACCGATTGGTTCCTATCGTAATAAAATATGTTCAGTTCTTAAAATGTGATAAATTTGTGTTTAGTGTTATGATGGATCATAATGAAGTTATTCTTTCTGAAGATCTAGAACAGTTTTCCAGCCATGAACCTGAACCTGAAGAACCTTTTATTGATCATGATGATAATCTTACATCTAAAAATCTGAAAATAACCCGTGCATCCTTGCCTTCCCTACAGCTGGAACGAACCGTTCATTTCTCCTCTCAGGCCAGCATAAGTGTATTCATGAAAGATATTGAAGATGAAAATCCTGAAAAAGAAAGCTGTTCTCCCACAAAGCAAAAATCCAAGCGGTTTACCTGGAAAAGTATTAAAAAGAACAAAAATAAAACCAAAGAAGATAAACCAACTCCAGAAACTTGCGCCAGGGAAAACACAACACTTTCTATTACAACACAACCTGTTATTGTAACTGAGGAACTGAGCAGAGATCTGTCTAATTTAGTATCCGCTCCCTTTGCTGAACCTGAGTTTAAACTCAGAGATCATCTGAGCGAAGAATCAACCCTGAGACGGGGTTCAATATCAGATCAACTTCGGGACGGACTTAGGAAATCTTTCTTGTTTATACTTTATCCCGAATACAATTTTTACATTATTATCTAATCATGATCTCATCTTATACTTTTTTTTGTAGAGTTAGGTTGCATTCATTTTGGAAAAAAGTCGTTTACATAAAAAGATGTGCGAAGATTACGTCAAGCTAGCAATAAACAAGATTAAATATCATAGATCAATAACAGATAGGACACTAGATGTCGTCTTTTAAAGATTTGGATTAAACTCGTTCACAATAACCCTGAGGAGTTTCGCGCAGTCGGCTTAAAACAGGATCTATCTTTCTTGTAATTCTACGACGACTGGTCGGAGCTCTTCTGCGCTTCTGTCTCAGAGTTATTTGTAAACGAGTTTTATCCAAATCTTGAAAAGACGACATCTAGCGTCACATCTGTTATTTTAATTAATCTATGGTCTGTATCAACATGTTTCCAGTCGTATTATGATCTCTTATTTAAAATTCTTCGAAAATTGCGTAAACGACTAAATACGTTATTATTTTGAATAAGCCAACAAAAAGTATAAAAAAGCTAAAAAAAATCTTTATTGCACAAGTTAATATAAGATTCAAAGTTAAAACGCACTCATGGCTTAACAATATAGTTTACCGCATATACATATAGAAACACTACTGGGTCATGGAAAACATGGAATTAAAAACTTATTCAATCACTCTATACATATATACCGGGTTACCCAGAAAGGATGAGACTTCAGAAACGATTTACCAATTTTTTACTTATTTCCTACATTCAAAACTTTTATTTTAAACGTTCTTATTTTTTCCCAAATCAGAAGACTATTTCCAAATTTAAAAAAAATTCCACCTTCAAATCGCCATGTCTAAGGAATTTTAATTGTAGGTCAAATATTTTATAGATTAATAAAAAGAGTTGCAGATTAAATACCAGGACTATACTTCGTACAGTAAATTGTTCGTCAGCTGAAAATTCCTTTCAAAGAACATGAATTATTAATTTCTTATTTACTTTTGAATTAACTTAATGGAAAATATAAATAAAAGGTATTATTATATTCTTAGGCGGGGGAATATAACGGCAGTTCTATTTTTTACATAAAACAATAAATTATTAAAAAAAGGTTGATGGTTTTGAAGAAGCAGGATTTTAGACATTCCTTTCCTGAGATTTCGTTTCCTATAAAGGAGGAACTTGGAGGTAAATTCTTTTCTTTTCCTATTCTTTTTTTTACAATTATTTTTTTACAATTTTTTTTTCAATTTGTTTTTAACAATTTTTTTTAACAATTTTTTGTACAATTTTGATCAGTTTACAAAATCAAGTTTTTTGTTTTTGTTTACTCACAGTCATATTTCATATTGGCTTTAAAAGGAATACTAAATTAACTTCAAGTAAACCACCATTTAAAGAGTCACATCGCCTATCCTTTAAACCTTTGTCTTAACTACAGAGCGTCCCATATCATATTAGATTATCAACAATCTTTAACGCCAAACTACGCACATAATACGCGAAATATCTAGCATTTTCTGCCAACAAAATTTTCTATTAGCCTTATTAAATTTTTTAAAATGATTCATTCTTCTTAAATTTTCTGATTTGTCCCCCAAATCGTATTAGACCCATTGACGCGGTCTAATTTGATGTGGGACACCCTCTATATTAAAGAAGATATGCTTTGCTTTTGTATCTTCTGATAATTTTCTATTGTGAGAACCCTCAATTAGAAATTATCAATTTTCAGATGACGCAATTAGGAAATCTCAATAAAATAATTTAACCCTACTCAGGCTGGACGCCTTCTTTACCCAAAATAGTCGGGGGGGGGGGGGGCCAGGGACATGAAGTCGTCTTTCATCTCTTAAATAGTTTGTGTCTTTCAACTCTCATGTTGCGTGTAAAGTGATAAACAAAATACGTTTCTGTTTATGCTGGGTTCCCTTGATATTAAATTTCTATTTATTAAGATATATATACAGTTAAACCCTAAATAAGCCATACATCGAAAGAATTTATCAAATGTCGTATTCTTCACTTTCTGATAATGGAATGTTGCAGATATTTAGTTTTTTAATTAAATGATTATATGGAGCTCTTTAAAACTGTTCCCGCATATTCATGGCAATTATCTATTTTCGCAAATATTGAGATCTACGTAAAAAAATATAAAACCCATTGAAAAATTTTCAAGACGACAATTGATAAATTCTTTCGATGGTATTGCTCATTTAGGGTTTAACTGCATGATTATTTTAATGATTTATCGAATAATATGTTTAGATAATATAAAAAACGAGGCTGGGGAGACAAGAATCCTGCATGCTCAAATGGATGAAATATTGACCAAAACTATAAGAGAACATTCTCAAAAGGAAATAAATTGCTTGAAAATATTTAAAAGCTTGGAAAAAAAGTTTAAAATGGACAATTTAAATTTTCCTAATCTTATTTTTATTCCAGAGAAAAGAACAAAAGATCACAGAAAGCAGGAGAGAAGCACCAAAGGAATTTAGTTAATCTGAGCCTGAATATAATTTCCAAATATTTTTTATTTATAATTATATTATATATATAATATAATTATATTAGATTGAGATCAACACTTTTGTGTGAAATAGCGATACAAAGCTTTATCTCGATATCCGCTGTGACAACTTTTAAAGAAATTGAGGTTTTGCCACAAACTCTGAGTTTCTAATCCCTTTATCTTTTTGCAACCCAATGTCGTATACCTTACATAATTTTTTGAAATATCAAGGTCTACACCCATTAGATTGCAAAGATAATATATCGATTAGAAAATAAGAAACAATAAAACAGCCTTGAAACAATAAAACAGCCTTGAAACAATAAAACAGCCATGAAACAATAAAACAGCCTTGAAACAATAAAACAGCCTTGAAACAATAAAACAGCCTTGAAACAATAAAACAGCCTTGAAACAATAAAACAGCAGCCTTGAAACAATAAAACAGCCTTGAAACAATAAAACAGCCTTGAAACAACAAAACAGCTTTGAAACAATAAAACAGCTTTGAAACAACAAAACAGCCTTGAAACAATAAAACAGCCTTGAAACAATAAAACAGGCTTGAAACAATAAAACAGCCTTGAAACAACAAAACAGCTTGAGTTTTCACCTCTGATGGATTAATGTCCAATATGGATTAACAACTTCAGTTACCGGAAAAACCGCTAAAATTTCGCATTAGACAACTTGGTAAGTGATGCAAAACTGAACATGCTGTTTGCAAATTTGTTCATCCCTCAGGATTTTGTTTTTTTTAAATTTCAACCGATTTTATCTAAAAATAAGTGTTTTTAAAATTTTTACATGTCATTTAAAACAATTACAATCACTAACACATCTATTAGCGACGTACATTTCTTATAATAAGAAGAAAAATGATATGCTACGAATTTCACTATTTACAATTATGTTAAAGTTTTTTTTAAGTGCAAACTATAAGAATGTAGGATTTTTGAGTTATAGAGAATTCCCAACTAAAATGTTCATTAAAGAGAGATTATAACTATTCCATTGCAAATCCAAATAATTATTTTGTGAATTATGTTTCTGAAGTAGCTCTAATTAAAATGATGCTGAAGCATGTTTGAATATCATATACCGGGGTCAGCATAAATATCAATATAAAACCGTTTACTAATAGGATGAAATAATACAGAGGCTGACATACAGGGTGTCCCACGAAACATGACAGTTGGTGAATAGTTTAAAATGTCTTCTTCCCTAATTTTGTTGTTTGATACCAAAGCTAGACAATAATAAAAATATTATATGGGAGTCATGTTACAGTAAAATTGATTTAAAAGTAAAATATATTCAATCAAAAGATTTTTTTAACGAAATAAACTACAAAAAGCCTTTAATATTTAATACAGTATATGGAAGACGACATTCATATCTTTTTATCAATTGTCATGTTTCGTGGGACACCCTGTATATATAATCAATATAATTGCCACTGCGCTATAAATGCTGCATAATAAATGGTAGTCGGTGTAACTAGAAAATAACATTTGATTATTAATTATTTTATGGATTCATTTCACATTTGAGACAGATTAAAACGTATTGTCAAAACGCATCCACCCAAAAAAAATGATTTTTAGTCGATCAAACTCATTAAATATACGTCGTAGAATAGTTTTATATGTCTCAAATGAATCCTAAAAGATTTGTCCACAATACTATATATTCAGTTAAACCGCCATACATTGCCGGTCACTCCCTTTATGTGAAACAAAATTCTTTTTAGAGAAAATTGTCAACGGTTCTATAAATCCTGGCGGAAACAAGTTCTCCAAAGACGACATTTTAAAACAGCTTGATTCGTTGAGGTAAGATTTTTGTTTGATTAGTTTCAGGTTAACCACAAACATGAGACAAATCTACAAAATGTAATGAATATTTTGTTTCCAGAAGTTGTCCCCTTGTTTAACTTTAAATCTCTAGACTCAACGAACTCAACGAACTCAACGAACTTAACAAACTCAACAAACCGAACAAACAAAGCGAACTACACAAAATGAACGAACTATAAACGAACTAAACAAACTGAACTTACTGAACGAACTAAACGCACTAAACGAGCTGAACAAACTTAACGAACTCAACAAACTTAAAGAACTACACAAAATGAACGAACTAAAGGAACTGAACCAACTGAACGAACTAAACAGGCTCAACAAACTGAACCAACTAAACAAACTAAACACAATGAACGAACTTAACAAACTGACGAACTGAACCAACTGAATAAACTAAACGAAGTCAAAAAACTGAACGAACTAAACGAACTAAACAAAATGAACGAACTCAACAAACTGAACGAATTCTAAACGAACTGAACGAACTAAACAACTGAACGAACTGAACTGACTGACTGAACTGAAAATACTGAACGATTCAATGCGCTATAAAATTTATGAATACAAAATAAATAATAATAATAACAAAATATTGTTAAACCTCCAGGAAGATATTAACTACAGATGAACTTATCCACGGGCTCAAGGAAAAGGAAACAATATATGACAAAGTCAAAGGAAATATAAAATCTAATTTAAATGAATTTTCACCAAAAGCTAAATTACTATTTTAAAAGAAGCTTTGAAAATATCATTTTGTAAATTAAAAAAACTAAAATATTTACAGTATTCCATGATCATGGTTTAGAAAAAAGAAATTCTTTCGGTGTCTCCGAAGTTCTGGGTTAAACTCTAGAAATTTAAACTTTTCTTTTAAATTTTTGATTATTGATTTTTAATTTGGTTAATCAGGGCCCTGCAGATCGATCAAAAAACATCGGATTCTCAAACATTCAAAATCTTTTTCATTGGACTAAATTGTTTTTAAACTTTGTGATTTTTAGTTTTACTGTGCTTTTTGTATCTTTTTAATACGGACAATAAAATTAGATTTTAATTTTGAAATTAAAGAAATAAAAGAAATAATTTGTTCAATAGGGATCAGAAAAGAGCAAAAATGATTTCGTCACTCAAAAGAAAATGACGCCATAGAAAACATAGTTTTAGTAAAAAAATTAAATCTGACATTTTGCTGCAGATTGTTTGATTTTTCAACTTTTTCTTTTTAAACTAGTAAAACTGAACCAACACGTGAAGCCTTTATTGAAATTGATAAAATTTTTAATTAAAAATGTTCTTTAGAAGAGGCAAAGTGAAAAATATTTAAAAATTTGAATTTTGAAAACCTCACTTTCAATAATAATCATTCACCTTATTAAAATTTAATACAGAGTGTCCTTCAAAACATGACCTAGTTAATGAATAGTTTTGAATGTCTTCTTCCATACACTGTATTAGGCATTAAAGACTCGCAGTTTAATTCGTTAAACAAATCTTTTACTCAAAAATATTTTATTTTGAAATACATTTTTCTATAATACATGACTTCCATGTGATATTTTCTATTTGGTATTAAAACACTTAACAAAATATGGAAGATGACATTTTAATCTAAATGTAAAAAATAAAATGCACCAAAACTATCAATTTTGAGAATTCATATGTTCTAATTAAATAGAATGTTATTTTGCTAAGACTGAAATTTAGATATTCCTTGGTTGTAATACCCTGCACGGATATTCCTTGATTCTCAAGTTTAGAAGTGCTCACATTGAATACCAAGATCTTAACGAACTTGCACTTAAAAGTTCCGATCTCTGATTATCTAAAAATGTAAAAAATTTAAAATCATAGATTAATAACAATACAGATTGAACACTAGATGTCGTCTTTTCAAGATTTAGGGGGTTTTCGTTCACAATAACCCTGAGGCAGAAGCCCAAAGGAGTTACGCGCATGATCTCCCTATCTGTCTTGTCTTTCAACGCAGCATGCGCGTAACTCCTTTGAGCTTATGCCTCAGACGACATATAGTGTTCTTTCTGTATTGTTTATTGTTTACTCCAATTGAGAATTGGAGTAAACAAAAAACATGAATAAAATGTTAACATTTTAGAATTTTTAATTATTTTAGATTAGAACCTTCGAGCCTCATTTTTAAGTGTAAACTTCAACCCTTTCTTTGTAGATATCATGTATTTCTATCTAAAAAAAAAACTATTCTGTGACCTTCATTCTTGGCTTGTCTTTGTTCCATAAATATGCCTGAAAATTACTAATTGGAAAACAAAGATATCTCCACCATTTTAAATAGTTTCAGGGTAGCGTTTTGCATTGGATTTTAAATCATTAAAGGGAGTGTTCGCGAAAAATGAAAGGGGGTATAGACTTAATGCGATAAAAAAGCGCTTTTTGTCGCTACTAATTTTACTTCTATATGTTGCGTCTATAAGGAGAAAATTGTTAAAGACGTCTCATACCGAATAACTTAGCGGCCATACAAATTGAGAAAATTGCAACATACTACTTAGACCGTAAAAAATCAATTTAATTTCAAACAAATCATTCAGATATTACAACCTACAGTCATCGATTATCTTTCGCCACATTTGTATATAGTTTATATTTTATAATATTTTATTTTTTTAGAAAAGTTTTCAACGGATTTCGAAAATTGTGAGTGGTGTGCGGCATTCTTAGATAGTTGCGCAATCGACAAGAGAAACAAACAAATTAATTAAAAAACATTATAAAATATAAACTATATACAAATGTGGCGAAAGATAATCAATGACTATAGGTTGTAATATCTGAATGATTTGTTTGAAATTAAATTGATTTTTTTAACGGTCTATGTCGTGTTGCAATTTTCTCAATTTGTATGGCCGCTAAGTTATTCGGTGTGAGACGTCTTTAACAATTTTCTCCTTATAGACGCAACAGATAGAATTAAGATCAGTAGCGATCAAAAGCGCTTTTTTATCGCACTAAGCCTATACCCCCTTTTATTTTTCGCGAACACTCCCTTTAAATGGAGGGTCACTTGAAAAATGTGGGGGTGTTTACAGGAATTTGGTAAAAACAACTCAGCTTACACTAAGTTCTTAATCTAGCTAGACATCTAAAGGTTTAATTTAAAGTGTTGAACATATAAGAATTATGTGTTTTATGGACCTTATCATTATATTGTATTTATCTCAAGGCAACCAAATATAATTAATTTCTGCACAATCACTACCCTGCCATATATAATATATTTATACAATATATATTTATTTATTTATACAATATATATTTATATATTTATATCACAGATGTAGTTCTTGGTTCTTATTATTTCAAGATGTTAACTAAACAAAAGGCCTAAATAAGCTTGAGTGTCTAAAAAATAATCATTGAATCAAGAGAAATCAAATTTTATATTTGTCAAGGACAAAATTCAAGTATTTTCATTAGATGCTAATTGTTTGTAATTTAATAATTGAATTTTATGCAAACAAAAATATGAATATCGAACTGGGACGAGAATTAATAAAAAGTGAGAAGTTGAACAACGTTGTAGTGGTTCATTAAATCTGGCCTCTGGCTGATTATTGGTATTAATCTTAATTCGAAATTTCGAGAATTATTATATTGTTTGGATTACCTTGTAAGTCCTTCAAGCAACAAATGATTTATTTTTACATATTATGACATCCTATTATTTTACTTCATAAGACATTTAAAACAATAATGATTTGTTTATCCTTTATCAGCAGACAGGGGAGGCGAGGAAAGGGCAGGGGGGGGGGAGAGGTAGAATGTTGAAAAAAACGTGCACATAATTTTGTAAAATACAAAATGTCGGATGTTAAAACACGAGGAATGATGACAATACAATTTATTGTGATTCAGTGTCTATAGAGTTAAAATATGAACCATATGGGCTGATGGAAATATAATCGAACCCTTGATAAAACATTTTTGTTTCCGCAGGGGCTAATATATACTTTTGCACAATTATTTCCATTTTTTGTCTTCCAAATAATATATCTGAATAATTATTAACGAAAACAAAAATATTCGAACACTTTATTATAAAATTGTTTACGCATGTTTTATTTTTATTGGTTGTATTTCTTTAAATGCATGAATAAATTTTACAAGTACGAAAATTCAAAATATTTCCGTTAATTTATTGTGATTTTAAATCTAATTATAATTAAATTGCGACTAAGGTTTTAATGAGATAAAAATATATAAAAGTATACCAAGTCCACCGCAGGGGCGTACGAGGGGGGGGCCGCGCCCCCCCGCCCCCCTCTACTCGTGCCCCCCTGAGAGGCTGAGGGGGGGCATCCATGGGGGAGGCTCTTTTAATATTACATCTGCTTGCATTTCCCTTCCTCAGGTCAGGCACAGTGGTGTACCTAGGGGGGCAGTAGTTCTCTTGCCCCCCCCATGGGAGTTCCAAAAATACAAAATTAAAAGGAAACTACGTTTAGAAAGTAACACCTGACAATGACAAAGACTAAATACCGACAAATTTCAAACCCGGCCCTTAATTTATGCAGAGATAAGAGTTCCAATGGTTGAATGGAATAATCGCACATACGCACGTACGGCCGGATCAACAAGAGATTATTAATATATAATATATCAAAACTTCTAATCCTGGATGGTAACCATATTTTTACACGAAGGAAACGTTTACGGCGCAATTTTGTTATTGCTGCACCTCCAGTTTTGCGCTGAATTTTTTTCGTGGAGCCATTTTGCGCAGAATTGCACAATTTCGGAAAATTAATTTTATTCGTAAAAGCTTGCAAAATAGGCCAGAAAATTTGCAGTAATTTTATTTTTCTAGTTTTAACAGTGTTTTATTCTGTCGATTTCCTTCATTGTTTCTGTTTTGTTTGAGGAGAAGCCACAGCTGAAAATCGAAAATCAAGGAGATATTCTTTCTTGATTGCAGGCAATAGCTTAAAAGGTATACCGGTTTAAATAGTGCATTCCATGATTCCATAGGAAGGTCTACGAGAATTTTACTTGATTTTGGGTTCCCTTGCTTAAAATATCAGACGTCTTTGCTTGTCTTGCGAATCCAAGATAAAACAAAAACTTACGATTCTACTAGATAAAAAAGCTTACACCAACAGGTTGCAAAGATAGTACTGTACTATACTGTACTGTAATGTACTGTACTGTACTGTAAACGGATTACAGTTTGAGTATAGGTAAGTATTAGTGTTCAGTCGTTTTACTGAACTTAATTTCAGCAGTTATGTATTTTAATTAATGTTTTATAAAATACATTTTCTGGTTCTGAAATCAAATTATTAAGAATTTTCTTGCTTCGTAATCTAAAATGTTTTGGTATTTCTGAATCTTTAAGAAAAATTCCCACCTCCTGCAATGCGCCAGTTTTTTTGCCTGTTTTATAATAAAAAGAAGCTTAAAAAATTTGTGATTAGACATTGAAAAAAAAATTAAATACCGCTGCCCATTATTTTTTAGCATGTGTGGCTTGTTTTTTTTTCTCAAAACCCCTGATTTTGATCGTGGACAAAATATGGATAAATCATTTAATTTGCCAGTAGAGCACCGGACGTGGTAGAGTTAACAACAACTGACCACGTGGAAAAAGGCAAGATGGCGCCAGAAATTATTTTAGAAGGAATATTTAGCTTATATTTCGGGGGCGGTGAGGGNGGTATAGGGTTGATTGGGGGGAGTATAGGGGTGGGGTAGTTAAGTAATTTAGGGGGAAAATGAAAAATGTTTTAAGCAAAAATGTTACCATACAAATTTTTAAACAATTATTATACCATCTGAACTGAATAATGGTAAATATTATACTTATCATTTAATGATCATGAAAGAAAACTATGAGGAGATGATGATGGTGACATAATTGTACAAGTATGGCGCCTAAAATTCAACTTATCTTTTTTATGTTTCAATGTAAATAGGTCTAGTTAGACTTATTGTACTTTTATGGCGAGAATTTTAGAAAAAAATTTTCATGACTGCAGTTTGTTTTTATTCACAACTTAATGAAACCATGAATAAAAAGCTAATTTTTAAAAGAAAATGCGACATTTACTTAAGTTCTCCATATTTGATAAAGAAGTTTGAAAATCTCCTAAGTTTGCTAATTAAAGTTTCTTCAATTGAAACTTCTAATTCTGCGAAATGTCCAAATATCATAAAGTTTAAATATTTTGACAATATTTAAAATCTAATTGAGAATTTTAAATGAGAAAAAGAGAAAAATAAAGAGGTTTTCCGCCATTGGGTTCGAACAAAGCTAGATCCATTGATTTAAAATGAATTGTCACTGTAGCCTAATTTCCTCATGTTAGCAAAATATAAACAATAAAAAAATGGGAAGGGAGAAAGTGCATATAAAAGGCTGTCAGTGTAAAAACGGGTTAACTTTTAAGGGAGAAATCAAAAATTTTAGAAAATGGGTAAATTTTGGAAAATGGGTAAATGTTGGTAAACAAAATTATTGTTCCTGATTTCAGGGTTGACAAAAAACCAGCATAGCGTTCTTGGGTTTTATTGGATTTTATTTTCTTTTTTTGCTTTTTTAATTTTAAAGTATAACTAAAACAAACTAATCATATAAAAAGGATATTAAGCAACAGGTGAACACTATTTTGTGCCTACAGCTTATACTCTTACAATAAACTTTCCTCCCAATTCTCCATGAGGGGTATACTTCAAGTGTTAAATATTTTAGATCTATTTACTAGTCAGTAGTTTTTAATCCATTTTCGGAATAATAAAAAAAGTTTCGCGGTTTTGAAGAAATTTTTATTTTCAGCCTATATTACTCCTCAAACAAATTCAGCCGATTTGGTCCAGCTTTTAGTGCTGTAACAATTTGGTTATAATCGATATAGGCTATAAGACAAATTCTAAAAAACCCAAAAAACACTTTCGGGTAGTTTTTTAACATGGGTATAAATGTGTTTTTTGGGTGTTTTGCAGTATGTTTTTTTTTCATGCCAAACCTGGAACTTGACTTAAACCCATAAATATGTAGGCTCTACTGAGTACACCTTGATCACACAATAATTCATTCAAGTAAACTAGATTTAGAGCCTGAAATTTAAAAGAGTATCGTAGAACGAAACTCCCGAGTTTCCTTTTTGGGGTCTTAACATTTGTGTAGATTTTGATTACAGAGATTTTAAAAAAAATGGAGAATTTGAAGAAATTAATAACAAAATATTTCATAACAAAATATTGATATTCACAAAACTGCAATAACTCCATTCTTAAAACCCGGGTTTTAAAACTGGTTTTCATAACGATACCCTGTCTTAAGTTTTGGGTTCTGGATTTAGTGACTAATTTGATTAATCCGTACATCCAACTTGATTATTTATGTAATGTACTTATTTAGGTGCTGACTGTTTGTGTACTGTTTGATTTACGTACTGCTCCAATCAGAAGAATACACAAACAAACAACATTTAGGTAAATTATAAAAATGGTAGAAAAACCGAAGACATTGCTAATTAAAGATCAGAAAATCTACGCAAATTTGACGCATTTTCTTGGTGAGCCAGCGATAGTAACAAATGTCGTCGTCTGTAAAAATCCAGTACTTTTACGCTGTCGACGTCTCATAATATCGTCTTTTATTATTAGCAAAGTCTTTAGAAAAACCTAAATAAAATAAAAGCAAATCTTTCACTGATGTCAATTCCCGAAAAGATCTATGATTTTTCAGGATACAAGTCCCACCCCCCCCCCCCCCTTGGACCTCCCTCAAAAAAAGCCTAGCCTAGAAACAAGAAATTTAGAGAACTTATTTTTTAAAATGTAAAAATATCATGAAAAATATACAAGATTTAGTTTAACAGTGGAACCCATAAAACTGTGTAATAGGAAGACGACATTTAGGCAATTCTAAGTTTATGTGATGTTGCTATAAAATAGAAGTTTTACAAAAAGCTTTAAACTTGCTTTTTAAATAATTAATTGGGTTCGTTTATACTGCAAACAATCTGAGTTTTATTTGATAACTTTTGTCATAACTTTAGACTAACAATCGTCGTTTTATTCCACAGTTTCCCCGATTTCCACTGTATTCCAAAATTATTTTTATAAACTACTAGCCGAGATACCCTGCGTTGCCCGTTGAATTTTTTTAATATAAATTCAAAAAACAAATTTTGATTTTTGAAGAATAAAAAGGGTTCCCTCAAACATTTTAGCCAATTCGGTCTAGTCGTTTGGCCAGCCATAGCTAACATATATACAAACAAATATATATGATCGAAGAGCATTATTATATAGAAGATAAAAACCTCCCCTGAGTTTTTTCTCAGAATATAAAAACGTTTTAAATTTTCCTTTTGACAAAATTTTCAACAACAAAAATTATTGATCTTTTGTTCTTTTATTCTATTTTTGAAAAGATTTTCTACGTAAATAAAAACAGAAAGAAACAACATTTTGATTAATTTTAATTTCAATTGATTATCTTTTCTTTTACGTCATATTTATTGCATTCTTTACAGCGCAATATTAACTGCGTTTTATTCGAGCTGGGCAGTGTTTGGGAGGATATATTCGAGGTGGCAGTGTTTGGGAGGATATATTCGAGGTGGCAGTGTTTGGGAAGATATATTCGAGGTGGCAGACTTTGGGAGGATATATTCGAGGTGGCAGTGTTTGGGAGGATATATTCGAGGTGGCAGTGTTTGGGAGAGAATATTAAAGGTGGCAGTGTTTGGGAGGATATATTCGAGGTGGCAGTGTTTGGGAAGATATATTCGAGGTGGCAGTGTTTGGGAGGATATATTCGAGCTGGGCAGTGTTTGGGAGGAATATTCGAGGTGGCAGTGTTTGGGAGGAATATTCGAGGTGGCAGTGTTTGGGAAGATATATTCGAGGTGGCAGGTTTGGGAGGGAATTTTAACTTATCTTAGAAACATGATGAAATATAATTTTGCCACAACATTTTGTAATCTCTATATCTTTGCAATCTGTGATGCAAACTGTTGATATTTTAAAGTTCTAACAGAATTCTATAGCGAATAAAAATTGCCTTTAATACCTGTAAACATATATTTAGATATTTAGTTTAGAAAACAAAGAGAGGCTGTTTATTGAAAACTTCATAATGTTTCCTTGTTTATTTGTATCCGTGCAGTTTGACAGCTTGGTAGAAATAAAAAATATCAATCGAAACGTCGTCTTCATTGTATTGATATATAAGAAGACAACTGTATGTTTAGATCTAAGATTCTGAAATGATTATCCTCCCTCTACTGCTGGTACTGCTTCAGATATCAGAACAGACGGTTTTACTCAGGTTTTATTCGTTCATGTTCTACTCAGGTTTTTATTCGTTCATGTTTTACTCAGGTTTTTATTCGTTCATGTTTTACTCAGGTTTTTATTTATTCATGTTTTACTCAGGTTTTTATTCGTTCATGTTTTACTCAGGTTTTTATTCGTTCATGTTTTACTCAGGTTTTTATTCGTTCATGTTTTACTTAGGTTTTATTCGTTCATGTTTTACTCAGGTTTTTATTCGTTAATGTTTTTTTTAAATCCATCCTTTCAGAGTTAGTTAAATGCACTGTAAGCGTAATTTTAAAAATGACAAGACCCGATTTACTAAAGTAGCCTTAAAAGCTTGGTTTGATCAAGTTTGTTAGGTATGCATGATTTATTTGTTTTGATTTTGTTGTGCATATCTTACTTTTAAGAAAATGTTGAGAAATTAACAGAAATAAACTCTTTTATAACGTTGAATTAGAACGACGTTATCTTTCAAATTTTGTATCTGATTAAAGGGTTCAGGGTTCTGTAATAAATCGGCCATTTTTATCTTTGCATCACTTAAAATCACGCTTTTAGCGGCAATTGAAGTCAAGTAACCAATGCATGCTACCCAAGATACCTTTCTCTGGGTAAGAAAAAAGGAGTTATTCTTGTTTTCATTCATCTGAATATTTTTGAAGCTGAAAAAAAGAAAGAAAACTACGAAAATGGATATCTTTTCAATACTGATAGCTGACTATATCTTTCTTATTTTTTAAAAAGGGACGAAAGAGAAAGTTTAATTGAGGATGACATGAAACTACGTCTTCAATCCTTTCAAGTTGAAAGATTATGAATAGAATTTCCCGATTTTTGAAAAAGTTGAAAGTTGAAAAAAGTTTTCTCGAGATGATTTACACTTCATATTTTATCACCAAAATTTTTATGGTATTCCCCTTCAATGTGGGATTCATCCAAGGGGACCCTGGTATTCCCCTTCAATGTGGGGTTCATCCAAGGGGACCATAGTATTCCCCTTCAATGTGGGGTTCATCCTAGAGGGTCCTGGTATTCCCCTTCAAATGGGATTCATCCAAGGGGACCCTGGTATTCCCCTTCAATGTGAGGTTTATCCAAGGGGACCCTGGTATTCCTCTTCAATGTGGGGTTCATCCAAGGGGACCCTGGTATTCCCCTACAATGTGTGGGTTCATCCAAAGGGACCCTGGTATTCCCCTTCAATGTTGGGTTCATCCAAAGGGACCCTGGTATTTCCCTTCAATGTGGGGCTCATCCAAAGGAGCCCTGGTATTTCCCTTCAATGTATGGGTTCATCCAAGGGAACCTTGGTATTCCCCTTCAATGTGGAATTCATCCAAAGTGACCCTGGTATTCCCCTTCAATGTGTGGGTTCTTCCAAGGGGACCCTGGTATTTCCCTTGAATGTGTGGTTCATCCAAGGGGACCCTGGTATTCCCCTTCAATGTGGGGTTCATCCAAGGGGACCCTGGTATTCCCATTCAATGTTTAGAGTGGCATGCGGATATCTTTGGTTATGATTAATAAAGTATAGAATTGAAGGGTATTGTTGTAAATCGGACATAACCCCCCTTTTTGTTTTATATAGTATATGTAATAACAACAGTTCCTTAAAGTGTCGTTTTCTTCCAAAAGAATTTCCAATAAATGTTACTTGTTACTTGTTTCCCAGAATTTCTCTTAAGAATGGTTTTCATCCAAGATTTCTTTGGAATTCCTTTGAAAGAGATTTATATTAAAGAGGTCTTTGGAATTCCATTTTAATGTGATTTTAATTCAAAAGTTCCCTGGAATTAGAATTAGAATGTGATGTAAATCTATGAGGTCCCTGAAATTTGCTTTTAATGTGATTTGAATTCAAGGGTCCCGGAAATTCCCTTACATGTAATTTCAATTTAAGAAGTCCCTGGAATTCCTTATGAATATGATTTTAATTCAAGAGTTCCCAGGAATTCTACTTGTTTATGATTCTAATTGAAGAGATGATCCCTTGAATTTACTTGAAGATAATATTTGATTAGGAAGGATCTGAGTGAGTATGATCTAGCAAGGTGTAATGATGGAACTCCAGCTTCATATCTTCATCAACAGGTAAACGGACGTGCGCAAATCGCGCACTGGACATGCTTAGGAAAATTGTACATGCGTAAGTAAGTACATATATCATTACGAGAGTGCATTTGCATTATAATGAGAATGCAACAGCTCCCATCGCAATACAACTTTGTATCTGGTCATTTTCTGAGTGAACAAAAATAAACAGGGCAGTGACAGTGTGAAACCATGATTATTGATTATTGCACTTAAAACGTGTATCAAAGACTAAATATTAAATAAGATGTTACGTACTTTCCCAAAGGCATTTTCCCAAGTGGCAACTTCCCAAACGTTCCCTGTAGTTTTTTTGTCCTAGCACTCTCATTTTTGACACTATCACCGTGAATTTTTTACTTTTAGTGAAAAGTAATTTAAAGGATTTTTTGTTAAACATTTTTTTTATTTAAAGGGTAGGGTACAGGGCAGAAAAAAAGTCTGGTCTGTAAAAAAAAATCTAAAATAGCCCATTACTTTTTGTGATTAAAGCAGCAGATCTAAAACCTACATTAAAAAGCCATTGAAAAATGCATGTAGAAACATGTGTCGACACACTTTAATATTTGTTTAAAACAAAAAATTTTTTCCCTCACTTTTTTTACCCTTTCTAGGCATTTTTTTCAACACTCCCTAGCACCCAAACTATTAGAGTTATTGATCTACTTTTTTCTATGAGCGGGCCTTGTAAAATTGGGCTATGAGTATGAACATGCATTTTAACCCTATACTTATTCTCTAAGGCTTTTTCTAGGGGTGGGCGTCAAATGCCCCCCCCCCGTCCATACATAAGGCGCCTTTTAAGGGTTAAAATACCTAACACTGCTCTGAACCCCTTAGCTAGAATGCATAATTTAAACACTATACCATTATAAAGTCCAATGCAATTAATTCACATTCAGTTTACTATCTTTTTTTAGCCATAAACATTTTTCAAAAGCTTAGATAGAAAATATTTATATATTCTTTTAACTCCAACTATAATGCAAATTTTTTAATGATTTTACCTACCTAGCCCGTTATAAAATCTCTTAAAAGATTCAGAATTTTATGAAATAAAAGTGTATTTCTTCCATTTCAAAATATATTTTTCTTTTTATCAACAAAAATGAGCCAACAATTCCAGAAAATTGAAGTATCATTGGAAAAAAGAGTAATTTTTAAAACTCTTCAGAAGCAGACGAAACCCATCTTCTTTCATCATTGTTGGTGTTTCATTGAATTCTTTAGGAATTCTTTAGTCCAAGAGATATTTTGCTATAAGATGTTAGAATTACATGTTAAGAAACCTCAGACTACAATCAAAGATAAAAAGCTTAAAACACCGTACACTGTACAGCTTTTTATACAGAGTACAGTGTGTTGAACAGTGTACCAGCGTGTACGTACAGTGTACATAAATTCATTAACATGGTGCATACAATATATTATAATAATTAAAAACTGTAATAAAAATTATAATTGTAGTTTTATTATAACCTAATAACTTTATATTCTGCAGCCTATTCGACAAATTTATGAACATTCTCTTTAAAAAATCAATTTGTCTAGGATGTGAGATATGCTAATGAGCATGTTTTGATTTATTTGGAGGATGGAGGACACTGTGGTTCAGTGGAGGCTTGTAGGTCAGATTTATCTATCTATCTATCTATCTATCTATCTATCTATCTATCTATATATCTATCTATATATCTATCTATCTATATATCTATCTATCTATCTATGCAGGGAAAGGTGCAGAGAAGGGAGTTCTAAGAGAGATTTATGTACTGCTGCATCCCAACAGGTTAGATTGTTATCCACAGAGTTTATCAGGACCAAGGAGTTTACATTCCATAGACAAAATAGATAGAACCAAGGAGTTTACAGATTACTGATGGGATCTGGTCTGAAAACCCTGGAATAAATCCATCAATGTATTTGGGTGGTTGAGAGAACTGATGGGATCTGGTCTGAAAACTCGGGAGTAAATCCATCCATGTATCTAGGTGGTTGAGAGAACTGATGGGATCTGGCCTGAAAACCCTGGAGTAAATCCTTCCATGTATCTAGGTGGTTGAGAGAACTGATGGGATCTGGTCTGAAAACCCTGGAGTAAATCCATCCATCTGTCTAGGTGGTTGAGAGAACTGATGGGATCTGGTCTGAAAACCCTGGAGTAAATCCATCCATGTATCTAGGTGGTTGAGGACCTGATGGGATCTGGTCTGAAAAGTGTGAAAACCCTGGAGTAAATCCTTCCATGTATCCAGGTGGTTGAGAGAACTGATGGGATCTGGTCGGAAAACCCTGGAGTAAATCCATCCATCTGTCTAGGTGGTTGAGAGAACTGATGGGATCTGGTCTGAAAACCCTGGAGTAAATCCTTCCATGTATCTAGGTGGTTGAGAGAACTGATGGGATCTGGTCTGAAAACCCTGGAGTAAATACATCCACGTATCTAGGTGGTCGAAAGAACTGATGGGATCTGGTCTGAAAACCCTGGAGTAAATCCATCCATGTATCTAGGTGGTTGAGAGAACTGATGGGATCTGGTCTGAAAACCCTGGAGTAAATCCTTTTGCAAACCATTTCAAGGCTTCTCTTCACTACTGCTCTAGTGATAACTATGCAGGTAGTAGATTTGTAAACAAAGGGTTAGTTTACAGCTAAAAAAATATTGTGTTTAGATAATAAATACTTATAAGAAATGCGTACATGGAATTGTAGGGACCCGAATAAAGATGGCTAACACAAAAAAAACATGTAACTGGACTTTAGAAGAAAATTTAAAATTAAATTAAAACATTGTTTCATTGATTCATATCAGATTACAAATTGTGGGAGTAAAATGAACTTGTGAGAAGGTTTAGAAAACCAGTTTTAAGCTTTATATTGTTTTGGATATATTTTAAACTGTATTTTGTTGGAAGGTGTTTTGATATGTTTAGCAAAATCAATTTCTGTTTAAATATAATGTCTTCCGATATCGTTTTTTTCTTCGAAGCAATTTATAAAGATATAAACGCATCGATATCAAAGAATAAGGTATAAAGCATGTTACATTCATCTATACAATACACACATACAATCCAGGGGGCGGAAGTCTCATGTGTGAGGGTGTCTGTACCAAAAGAGTGTGTTTAAATGGGAGTGACCGGTTATGTAAGGTAGTTGAACTGAGTATGCATTCGACGTTCGAAACTCCTACTTTGGGGGTGGATATGTTTTCAGAATTAGTTGTTTTTTAATTATTAATAACGACAACGAAAAATAAAGTAAAAATTATACAGTAATTTAATTAGATGATTAGGAACATATTTCTCAAAAGAAATGTGTCAATAAATCAGTGCTAAAATCGATGATTTCGTTTTCATTATTATATTGAATCTTCTTTCAATTTATTCGCAGATTTCTTCAAATTCTTCAGATGTCGTCTTTTCAATAATTATTCTAGAAAATCTGCGAAAAAGTCCAAGAAAATAAAGTCTCGAATTGGTAGGGCTTTATTTCCAGAGACTTTTAAATTAAAGGACTTTTTTAGTGTAAAATTTTAGGACTTTTTTCCAGAAACTTTTTTTCCAAGGACTTTTTTGACGGTTACTAGTCTAGGATTGTACATTTGTGTATTGTTAATTGTTTAATAATTTATATTAAGCGACTTGATACGTGATTAATACGTTACTAGCAAAACTATTTGCCTTGAAAAAACTTAAAATACATTCAAGTATTGCTATAATGTCGTCTTTTTATTCCACAGTTTTCTGGTTATCACTGTAAAAAACGTAAAAAATCGGGCATCCCACGCCACTCTTTTTTTAACGGAGGGTCACGTGAAGTTACCACAGCAAAAAGTTGTAATCTCTGTTTGTCTGTCTGGTTGTTTGTCCGATCATAACTCATGAAACCCTGGACCGATTTGCCTCAAATTTTGAATGGGGGAACTCGGGAGACCCACGAGAATGTTCTTAGGTTGGTTTTGAGATTCTAAGTTGGGTAAGTCGACTTTAATAGCGAAAATTTTGTTTCCTGATTAAATCGTTCCAGTGCGGGTAAACGGCAGGAGTAACTTTTAGTAACCTGGGCAGCGCTGGGTTCCCAAGCTAGTATTAAATAAACCCTTGTTCACTCTAGTTCTGTATGCATTGACAGAATAAACTACTAATGGCACTCTAGTTCTATAATATCGATGGTTTAAGCTTGAGTTCGAATAAGAGGTGCATTGATAGAATAAACTACTAATTCTATGATATCATTGGATTATGCTGGAGATGAGTACAAAGAAGAAATGCACATTAGAATAAACTCCTAATTGCTCTCTATCTCTATAATATCGATGGTTTAAGATTGAAGTAAACAAAGAAGAGATGCATATGTAGAATAAAACCAATACATTTTCAATCCTTTAGATGCATAGTTATACCTTTTGTCATAGAAATGTTGAAACTGAGTTTTATGAAAATTTTGCACATAAAAGTTATCTCATAAGTAAAACACTGATTATTTTTATATTTAATTTGATGTAAAAATTGTTTCATGTTTTAAACCTATTAGTTTAAATTGGCAAAAACAAATATTTGAATAGTTTTCCTGAAAAGTGTCTGTAAATCATGGAAATTAGTTTTCTAGCAGAGAGATTGAAAGAATTGAAATCCTTATCTTACATATTTTCAAATTTAACTTAAGAAGACCAAACATGGTTTGAATTTCTAGTAGGTCATCAGATAAATATACTACGAGGTCACAAAGTGGTACCAGTATTGTCAGATACAATGTCTAGTTTGCTGTGATCCAGATTCAAGATGTCATCTCACGCTGAAAGCTTTTCCATTTAAATGCAAAATATCCCTCGTTAGACATGTTTAATTATGTTTAAACAGAAAAAGCTAAATGTCGTTGTTGTTGGTAAAAAATGCACTCTTTTTCAGGAAATTGATAGAAGGCAGATATACCAATAATGATAACAACTCTGGAGTAGGAAGACAACTTTTAGACTTAAGTTTTGATTTAACAGTCCAATGAACGAGCGACAAAGCAATTGTGCAGTGTAAACAGACCCATTTCATGCAATAAGTGGTTTAATAAGTTACTAGAAAAACTATTTGCTTTGAAACAACATCAAATGCACTTTTCTACTGATTTTATGTTGTCTTCCTATTCCAGGATTACAATTGATATGGCTAAGAGAATAGGCTAACAATAACTTGTTTGCAGTTCTCTTCTGATTGTCCAAAACCACACCGGTTCTCTTAGAAAGAGAACATGTTTCGTGGTTTTAGAACCACTACTACTCTTTATATAGAAAACTCAGCAGCAACACGATCGCAGATATTAACTGGTCGAAGGAACACATTTATTCTCCTCTGTTTATTTATATGCTGAAATATGACATATTATAATGGTATATAAATAAAACATATAACATCAGTCAGAAATAACAATAATAATATAAATTTCATACCAATACACTAAAAGCTCTGATAGTTCCTATGGTGATGGCTATACTGACTTAATTGTCAAACCAATTGTAAATAGAAAACTAATCTGAGCCAACACTTGTTTGTCAACAAAAAACTGGTTTGTGTTTAGCTAGTCTTAACATGAAGGTGGGCCGGGGGGGGGGGGGGGATTGGGGCCCTTGAACTGCAGTACAGTAATAGAGATCAAAATACAATAGATGACATTTATACTCCTTCATCTGGTTCGGAAACATCTCTAACTCTGTGAAACACTCCTGCCGGGAAAAAGTTTCCGAACCACTACGGAAGCACATCTCCTCAGGTAGCATATCTCCTTGGGTAGCATATCTCTTTGGGTAGCATATCTCCTCGGGTAGCATATCTCCTCCGGTAACATATCCTCCTCGGGTAGCATATCTCCTCGGGTAGCATATCTCCTTGGGTAGCATATCTCCTTGGGTAGCATATCTCCTTGGGTAGCATATCTCCTCTGGAAGTATATCTCCTCTGGCAGTATATCTCCTCTGTCAGTATATCTCCTCTGGCAGTATATCTCCTCTGGCAGTATATCTCCTCTGGCAGTATATCTCCTCTGGCAGTATATCTCCTTGGGAACCAGCACCTCCTTGGGAACCAGCACCTCCTTGGGAACCAGCACTTCCTTGGGAACCAGCACCTCCTTGGGAACCAGCAACTCTTTGGGAACCAGCACCTCCTTATTCATCAGCTAGGTCTAAAACAACCAAGCCTATATTGCTTGATTCATTTCTATAAGAGATATAATTGTGACTATAAGGACCTAACCTATTGGTGCTTGATGTGAGTCCTCTGGGTGATGGCTAAGAAGAACTAAGGTGCTGGAGCAGAGAACCTGAAGTGGGACTCCTCGTTCCGAGCAGTGTAGGGTGTTTTCCCTCGAGGTGTGTTTCCTGGCTTTTCATTGGAAACTGAAGCAGAAACTGTTTACAAACACTCAATAGGGAGATTTGCAAGTGCTGCCAGAGAACCACGTAACTAAGCCCTGGTCTGGCCATCAGGGATTCATGATGCAGGTTATGATGGCCTCATGATGAATTTTTTTCTACTCCTTCTGTATGCCATGAATGTAAAGGCTTCGCATGGCGAGAGTAGACAAGAAACCCTGCTATCGCGGGGACACCCAGATAGAATTGGTAGCAGCATCTCAGATAGCTTACCTGCGCGGGGGCCAAGATGTGAGGGAGTGGGTTCCAGAAAACAATCCATGTCCGTCACTATTTGAAAAGTGGGGTGCAGAGACCAAGGCATCGCGTGCTGCACTGGCAGGGAGAGAACTTGACGAGGACTATCAAGACTCAGATGATATGTCACCTACTTTCCTGGCAAACCGAAAGATGTATAATGCCCTGACTAGGCATGCCGATATCCCTGACTTGAGCAACATCCTGAGGAAGATAAAGCTAAACAACAAGATGATGTCCTTAGCACCAAATTGGACTACTGGCAGTGCAGCCAAGGGCATTTTCTCTCGCACATTATACTTGACGAAATCAACTTCAAACCGGGATGTATACCCCACATGGATGAGACACATGGGATAGTGAATAACTTCCTCCACCTCACGGGAGTTACAAATTGTGTTTCATGGAACTGGTGCCTACATGCTATGGCTTCAAACTTAGCACTAGGAGACCTGACTATCAGCGCGGAGAGGGCCATCCTCGCCTATCAGTAAGTGGAGTTCTGGTTCAAGGCCACAAGGGATGGGAGATTTAGCGGCCTTCTAGGGGACATGGAACAGTCAGGGTTGGTTGACTTCTCTGGAATAGATATTGAAGACTAAGCCCTCCCTGACCTAGGATACCTCCCGGGGAGGCTTTATGCAAACAAATCAATTTGGTGTTGGAAATACTGTTCAAAATTGTACATAGTAGTTAGTATCGGAAGCTACAGATATGGGTTTTCTTGGGAAGAGACCATGTGATAAACCTTATAGATAGACTGAAATCAATTGCTAATGTCAGATCCTTCATGAAGGTTTACAAGACCACCGGTATCAACATTGACAAACCATTAGACGCTAGCCATGCTGTGATGAAGGTGGAAAGGTACATAGGGAACAGAATACGTGCAGCCTATCCAGAGGAGGACACAAAGATTCCTAAGTCACTCAAGCAGGTCCTTGCCGTGCTCGAGA